GGCCGCTCAGGGTGTGTGTCCGGCCGGGCCCCAGGGCTGCGAGCAGCCTGCCCGAGCGCGTTGCCGGGGGTCAGCCCGTGCCCGAGAGTCCCCAGCCCAGGACACACGGAGCCCCGTCTGTCCACAGCCCAGAGCTGGGCCCCGGGTTGGGCCCAGGTCGGGCTCTTTGTGCCTACCCAAACTCACGAACCAGCCGTTCTGCCCTGTTTGCTGCACGTCCCCACGTAACCCGCATCCGAATGGGGGGTGTACCTGAGCCCAGGGCAGTAAACAGCTTTGAAAATGAAAAAGTACAATTGCAAAAATTTCTGCTCTGAGGAGTAGTAAAAAGCAATGAAAAAGAAAGCTCATCATTGTTGCGAATGAGTCATCCCTTCCGGAGTCACCCACAGAGCTAGGTGCCCAAGGCTGCTGGAAATCTGCTCAGCTCCCCGCGGGATGAATTTATCAAGCACGCTACATGCCCGCGCCGTGCAGAGACAGAGGCGCTCGGTGTGGCAGTTTCCTCAGGGAACTTCTGGTTTTCCTCCTAAGTGATACGTGTGAATACGCTGATTACTCCTCAAGGGAGGTGGTACTGTACGCTTCCAAGAAGGAAGTGCACCAAACCATAAATTTTCAAAAGAATTGTGAGATGGATGCCAAAAATTGAAAGCGTTCCTCTGAAAAGTGTTTCCTTTGTCACTGCAGACAATGCTGTGCCGGACCCGCAGAGGTGAGTTCACACTCAAAATGGAACAAGAAAAAGGATAGAGGGTGCTTTCTGCTTTCTCAAGAAATAGGAAAATTCTGTGATAACAGGTTTTTCTTTTCACTTTCTGCAGTGAAATGAATTTGTCTACTTGCAATGTGATTCATTTCCAGAGTTCAGGCAGACTGCAAACTACGTAATAGCTAAGTCTAGGTAAAAAAATGAAAAGCAGCTGTTGAAACATTCAATACATGGAGCAGAATTGATGTAATAAACTTTCTCAAAACCAGTAATTGCTATACTTGATTTCCTGATCTCCCACTGGACAATAAGACCTCATTCATTACTCTCTGAATCTAGGCCACAAGGAAGAGGAAGAAGAAGAGGTAAATATTAAGCTGCTGTGGCCCAGATTCATTAAGAAATGCAAAATCCTTTAGAACATGTAAAGGAATAAAATTAAACAATACTAAACATTCAAATTACTTGTTCAATGATAATTTTCCACCACTTTCCAACAGTACAGTAAAAGAATATACCCCCTTCATGCAGTTCAGCATCACATTTTATATGGGTATGTAGCAATGAAATGCTGGTGAAATATAAAGCAGAATAATTCACATAAGCCCACACCCCGAAACACGTCACCCTAAACAGTTTCATGAATTTCCTCAGACATCCATATATTAGTATCCACATTCATCTAGAGCCTATAATTACTAAAGTCATATATAATACCTTATTCCTAACTGTGTGTGGAGAAATAGCACCGTTATTTGGAGTTGATGTCAAATGGACTTCTTTCAAGGACTTGTGACAAGAATTAGTTTATACCCAAATAGACAAACAAATTCTTTGAAAGAAAAAAACAGTACGACCAACACCAGAAAGCCGTCTGTGTCCAACGCACACACATCTACAGATAAGATTTGACCTAGATGTCATTAACTGAACAACAGAGAAGCAGACACTAACATCAGGACTTGTTTAAATCCAGGGACAGCTGAATGGGAGGTGTAAATGAAGTCAACACTGTACGGACAGTAAACTGCAGCAGGGGAAACCTGACAACGACCTGCGTGCGTGCGTGTGCACTGTGAGCCCACCACAGCTTGGCTTGGCAATCCAGTGTACGATGCACATGCCTGTATTAGTAAGCTAAGCAGTGCTAAGGCCTGTCCTCCGGCCAACCAGCACAATCTGGTCATGTTGCTGCCATTAAATTATCTTATTTGTCTAAACAGGCTTGGATCCGAACTCTTACACTGGGCCCTGGAATCCTCCTTTGGGGATTTCTGGCAGTGCCGACTGCGGAGCTCCGGCCAGGGCCTGCCGGGGAGGGTGCCAGCTGGCCCGGGCCAAACCGCCCCTGAGGCCGGTGCAGCAAGGAACAGCGCAGGCGATGGCATTTCAGCGCCCGATCTGTGCTCTGTTACCCTGTAATTACTCACAGAGAGGAGCTAATTTGTACCAACAGCTACCCATGCTGGTGCAGCGAGGCACTTAACAAGGCTCGTCTCTCCTAGCCCCCTGCCATCACACACAACCCCAACGGGGAGACCGCTTGTGACTGTCTGCAACTGGCTGCTGCTGTCACGCTGCTGTGGCCATACGTGATGCAGAGTAAGGTCTCAGCATCTCCTCTCTGATACTCCCAAAATACTCAGCAGTGACCCTCTCTGGCCTGTTGGATGTGCTTTTCCCATCAAACGTTTGGTTGTATATAATTGTGTATGTTTGTACTTATCAACGATATATCGCTAATAGCCGTAAAACAAACAGTAAAAAATTGAGAAAATTATATTCTTTCTATAGGCATTACTCAACAGAAGTTTAAAATTAATTTAGGTGTGGTAGGCATGTACTCAAAACTCATCGCCTATTACAGCATACCCAATTAACGTTCATATGTTAAAATCCCTATCTCTTGGAGCCTATTTAAATGCACGTTAAACATTTCTACATTAATTTTTGTAAGATCAAACAGTCACAAAACAACACACGTTCTCCATTTCTGTGCACAGATTAAGTCATTGAGAAAATATAATGATTGCATCAGTCTGTAACACGAGAGCAGAAAGCAGTAATGACAGCCATGTGAGCTACTAAATCCAAAAAGCAAGATTTTGAGTAGGAAAACCGTGTCACTATCATCTTTGCTTTTTGGATTGTGTATAGTATAAGCATGAATAATAGGCAAAAGCTAAACCAGGAAAAAGCAAGGAGTATTATTAATTTATTTTGTAATGCTGGTATATGCTGGCTATCCCATACTTACTTTCGGTAGAGGTAGCTCTTGAAGCATTTGGCTTTCAAATTTAGATTTAGTCTGCAAGTTTAAAGTCATGCTTCTGCCGGCATGCATTGCTGAAAAACCTCCAGAGTGCAGCATGCCAAGGCTAACTGTGTTGTGTTTGTAAGCAGCGGTCTGAGTAGAGGAAACAACCACGTGACAGGATATGAACACACATGCTCATTGAATTAAATATCACACATATATGGTTAATTTCACAAAGTTTTAGTTTAAGCAAACAAACAGTACCAAGAAATAAATAGCTTTTTGATGCATGCACTGGGTCACACGGAAGCAAATACATTGCTAGTTATACATAAAATGGATACCATAAAAGACTTCAACGCTGACAGCAGATGAAATATGTTGTTATCTGTAGTTTGAAAATTGCAGCATATCACATGGTACAAGTCTTTATTTTGCAAATATGGCCAAATTTGGTATGTCTGCGCAACCACGGGTGGGCCAGAAAACATCTATCTCGCATAAAAGAGCATCAAAAGCCCTGTACCAGACGGCTCTGCACCATCTCTTGGGCTCTGCACTACTCCCTGCCTGGCACCTGCCCGCACAGGACAAGCTGCGGTCGGGCCCAGCACAGGGTCGGGCACCCAGGTCCTGCACAGACCGGGCAGACGGGCACGTCTTCTCCTGGAGCCGCTGCTGCATCGCAGTGCCCAGGTGTTCCCAGCAGCAAAACCTCCACCAGACAGCCCAGCTTCTTAGGGCTCTGATTATCCTGTGTTGCAAACAACTAGAAACTAGCTCGCTGGCACTGCAGGGATTAGTCTGAACTCGATTTAGCTAGATAAAATCACCAGCGTCAGCCTTCCACGAGATAAAGTATTGCTTAAGCAAATACACATTTTAAACTAAGTGTAAAGATATTTCTTAAACAAACAACACCCGGGAAGTGTTTATTTCCACCAGAAATGCCTCTACTTGGGGCGCACTATTTTGCCTAGGTATTATGTATTTTCCAATCAGTTTTACACAACGTAAGGGAAATAGCTGAAGTAAGGAAAAAGCTTCAGCCTTCAAGCCAGTTTTTAAAGTTTACCCATTTGATCCTTAATGATATTTTAATATGCATCACATTGGAGCAACTGGAAGGCAATGAATATATTAACACCAAACTCAGGAGTATCTAGCATAAAATAGGTATATGGACACATTTTGAAACTAACTTATGCACTTGACAACAGTAATTTTTCACAACCACTTCAGATTATGAAGTAAATCCGATTCATGAAGTAGGTCATTAAATAGTCAAGCTTATTATTGCAATCATGCACTATAGTACTTGTACTGTTTTGTATGGAAGGCAAGTAAGCATAACTTCCTACAGCTAAAAGGAGTAATAATCATATTCCATGTTAAAAACAGTGGCAGTGGATATCCAGTGATATTTTTCAGAGTTAAGAGAGACCTTTAAATCCCCTCCACTAACAGTGACATGAAAGCTAAAATACATGGTTTTACTTTTTATCTGTGATGTTTTTCTTTATTGCCTTTTACTGCAAAGATGTATCCAGCATCTTTTAACACTCTCATTTGATTACTGAAGTGGTGGACCTCAGCAGCACGTTCACATCTGATAAGGAGGGATTTTTACGGGTTTCATTATTTCAGGCAGTGCTGCAGCAGTTACTACATGAGTAACACGCACCGTGGTGCGTTACTCGTGCAGAGACTCTTTATCGCTCATTTACCGGGGACGCCCTTGCTCCAGCTGCTCTGGAGCATCCCCAGGCCCCTTTGCGGGCCAGTTCCTCTGACACCAATGCAAGAATTTCATTACTGGGAACTCTGGTGGTTACCATTGTACGTGCAAATAGTTTGAAACAGCGAAACACACAACTAAAGGCATTAATTGCAGAGAAATGCCAAACATACCCTGTCTAACCTTCTAGCTTCTATATGTCTAAGTAGCTGTTGTCTCCAGTCAGCGGGCATTTTAGCACAGCTCTCATTTCCCTTCACAGGGGTAGGCCTTGTCTTTATATCACTGTTATCGGAAGGCTTGTCGCCATAGTTACCCAAGTTATAGTCTGACGGTATCTTTTCCAGCAGAGCTGCCATTGTAGGCCTCGCTGAAACCGGCCTGGTTTGGGATGTGCCGTAACTCTCTGTACTGTAGCTTCTTGCAGACAACGGCCTCCTTTGTGTAAGGTTTTTAACTGGAAAGCTTCCGGTCTGGGCTTTCACTTCTTGGTAGGAAGGATGCTCGTCTTCGTACCTGCCATTCCTCTTGAGGAACTGAGACTCAGAGACCGAGATACTGCTCTGGCGCTCCACAGCTCCTCGGTACGGAGGCCTGCCATACCTATTGCTCGGGGGCAGCTCGTGGGGCTCACTGACTCTCCTGAACATGGACATCTCGGTGGAGCTGGCCAGCGAATCTGCCCTCCTCAGGAAGCCCGGCCGAGAGCCCTGGCTCGCGAAGGGGGCACTGACCGCCTCCTCGTTCACTGAAGGCTGGGAGAAGGAGAACATGTGCTCCACGGGAGGGTAGCCGCGGTAGGCCCTCGGGCTGACCAGATCCTGGGGCAGGTTTTTACTCTGCTGGGCAATGTACTCGGGGTTGAGCTGGAAAGGCGGCGGTAGCCTCTTCTCCGCTGTGACCTCCACTGCTCCCTGCGGGTTGAAGCTTTGGTCGAACTGGTAGACTTTCTTCGTGACCGACGATTTCTGCTGCGGCTGCACCTTGATGCTGCCGTAGGTCAGCAGCTCATCGTCCAGCATGGGGACCGACTGGCTGCGGGACATGCTCAGCATGCCGTGCTCCGGGCCCAGGAGCTTGTCCACCCTCTCGTGGGTTCCTACAGTATCATTACCAGATGCATAGTTTTCTAAGGGTATATTATACACTTTGTATGTACCAATGTCAATCTCATCGATACTTTGCGACTTCTTAAATTTGTTCGTTTTTAAATCCCTCATCATCGGAGAAAGCCGTTCTGTACTCTTGCTGATTGAAATAACGCTTTTGGAAGGATCTGGGCGACAGTGGATATGGGAAAAGACATTTGTGAGACTTCTGTTAGCGTTTGAATCGTGATATTCCCATGCTATTCCAGGAGTGAAAGTGCTAGTCATTTCAGGAGACTCTTTGATGTGATCTTTCCGCTCAGGCAAAGGGCTGGTGGTGGGGGTGCTTTCCAGTTTGGAAGGAAAAGCTGTCCTGTCTTCAAAAGGACTAGGGGTTCTGGTCCAATTTTGCCAAGGATTGGGAGGAGGCACTTCAGATTCGTGTGTGTTTCTGAGCGTCGGCTGCTCCAGCTCCAGGGGAATGCCAACTATCCTGTCTTGTCTGATCAACGGCCTGCGCCCGTGCGCAGATGTGCTTCTAGATTTCGTGGTCAGGAGGGGGTTAGCAGTAGGATTCTCCACCGTGCTCTCCTCTGCGACGAACCCTGTGTTGTCGTAGTGCGAGCTGTCGTTCCAGCTGTCGGCGAAGGTGTCGCTCAGCGGGCGCCTGTCGGTGCGCTGTGGCAGGTTCCCCGCCGGAGCGGATTCCCGCTGGCTCAGCAATGGCTTTGTTTCAAGGGGCTGTGGAAATGACTGTGCCAGCCTGCAAAACCAAAACAGAACAAGATAAAATGCCCTCCATTAGAGCACGTGAGCAGTCATCAGAAAGATGGAATGATAAAGCAATTTAACATTCGCCCATCCACATTCTGGCTTTGGCCTCATACTATGAGATATGCACCTTGTGCCACTGGTTTGGCATGAATGGCTGCAGCAGGTCTTTGCACTGGAGTAGAGATGCTCTAAGTACGTACACTGAGAAACTAAGAAGTCAGTCGAAAGTCCTGGGTGGCCTAATGCCACATTCATATAAATCCAGCTGAACATATTTTCCTGGTTTAAAAATAATATTCTATGAATGCAGGGGAGGATTTTTTACACTTACGTCATTTTTTTTTAAACAAGAATACCAGATTCAGCTTTTGCGTGTTCTCACTACCAAGATTTTATGCATCTCCCATGAGCACACTCCAGCTTCTTTTTAATGGGGAAGAGCCTGTGGATGGAACTACATTTAGGATGGAGCTCCATTAGGTGATTTATGGCAGGAATAGACATGGCAGAGTGTTCCTGGCGTGGTACAAGAGTGTTTTCAGGTTGCTGATGGCCAGTGCAAATTACAACTTTCAAAGAACTGTGGTTTTTTGGAGGTCCAGGGCAGAGTGAGGCTCAGGACAGCAATAATACGAGAGACATACACTCTGCTATCTCTGCTAAACTACAGCCAGCTGCAGCTCAGGACCACACAGAGCAGAATAATTGCAGCTCAATTACTAGGCACGTTCAATGCATGGTTATAGCACACAGTTGAAAAACTAGCTGTAGAATTACTGACATTCATAGAGTATGAACGGGTAGCCAACTCCACACAGCCTGGGCTGTGAATAGCTATGCACACCTCTGCAAAACGGATGTAAAAACGTTGTATTTTTTTAATTGGATGCCTTAACAGATAGCATACGATCCCTTTGAATGCACGTGACAACATAAGACAAAAAGCAACCAGAAGCTGTGTTAAGAAAGAAGATCACACCTGTTCCCCCACAAAGAGTTATTCACTGCTTCTTTAGCCGTTGTCTGCAAGGACCCCATTTTAACGTGCGCGTTGGAGGACCCTGAGGAAGCCTGGGAAGGGGAATAGTCTGAGTAAGTGCCTGAGGAAACGCTGTTATTCAGACAATGGATCTTATCTGCTTCAGACTCATCTGTCGATTCTGAAACAAAACACAGCAAATGTTTTCAGGAGGTGCTATTTGAAAACTAAACTCCAGAAAAACAATTTTTTAAATTGGCACTATGGATAGATATATATATTTTCACGTGCACAAAGAGGCATGTAATATGTTTAAAAATCAGAGTGAAGTGTAGAACATCTTAAGTAACGTGTCTATCTGTGTACATTACATAGGCTTTCATCTAAAAGGTTGTAAGTCAAGTTAGTACCTTTCTTCTCTTTACCCAGAAGAACAAGTTTGGGTGGGTACAACGGAGTCTCTGGCATGGAAGGACGAAGTTCCCCTATCCTCATCTCACTGGCAGGATGTCCAAAGGCATCCTGAGGAATATAATAATGTAGAGTAAACATAGGAAACAGAATCCACTTCAAACTGCAACAAACAAACATTTCACAGCCTTCTTTTCATGAATGTGACAACACACCAAAACCCCACCATACGGGCAGTGTCTAATCATGCTGATTTGTCAGCTGAAAATTCTAATTAGTCCTACATAAATACTTGTAAAAATTATGGTGATGTGTTCATTCTGAAAATGTGGACAAAACAGATGGAACTTGCAAGATACATCAAGGCCGTGTAAACATTTTTGATGAAGTAAAGGTCACAAAAATGCAAGCTGCCAGTAGAAATAAATAAAAAATTAGAATAGACATTTACTTGTTATCTCAGGAGTAAGTATTTCTCATTCATTCATTCATGACACAAGTCCTTCCATAGATTCAACTGTCCCTATAGCTATATTTAATTAAAATGACTTTGTCTCTAAAGAGTTTTTTGCTAAATTAAAATTATTTGGATTGCATAAGTTTCTCATTGAGAGTTCAGCAAATTTTGACCTTCAAAGACTGCCCTGCACAATTGTTTTGCTGGCAACAGGATATATACTGAAAATAACATGAGTTAAAGTGTTGACAGAAAGGGAGATGTAGTCTCAGATAGAGATATTTTAAATTAGGACATTTGAATTAGGCTGATAGGATAGCTAGAAGGGAACAAAGACACAAACAGGGAATCCGTGGCATTTCTTGTTCCTGGAAGAAAATTCAGAAATGAGAAAGACGCTGACCCGAAGGTAGGTATCCTGGGGAGACAGGGTAGGGCGGACACTGGAGGAATGATACTGGTAACCCTGCCCTCAGGAGGGACTTAAGGGATCCGAAGAACGAGCAATATGGGAAACCCATTTTCTGGGCTGAGGGCACCATAATGGAAAGTGAACTGGTGGAGACGGGCATGGCAGCACTGGAAGGTCCTGCCAAGGCCAGTCAAGATCCTTGTGGGGAGGCGAATGAGAAGCATGCATTGTCTTGGAAGCAAGAGGACGAGCTGGGATTTCGTAAAGAGGATGAAAGTTGGAGAAGGAGAGCATCTAGTCAAAAAGAGGAAGCTTCAGAGAGATATTGAGAGAAAATCAATAATTAGTAGTATAAATGAGGAAGGAAATGGTTAGGAGAAATATACTTAGGAGGGAACTTACACCAATGGAGACACTATGAGGATCGCTGTACCTTGACATTTTGTTGTTAAAGGTACTCCAGCGACTTTGCAGAGTGAAGTCAATAAAGCCGATGTAATATGTAGAGAAACAATTTACAATGGAGTACCAAAACCAAACCCACATTATTAAAATATCAAATGCTACAACACTTTTTAAATTTACTTGCTTTTACTCATGAGGAGAAAACTTTCAGAGGTTTACTCTCCATTAACTACTTTTTGTAGTAACACTGGAAACAGATTTGTATACGCATTTGCCATGTGATTTATCCTTGAAGAATATAATTGTATTTACACAACCGAGATTTCAATCCTTCTGCATGTGGTGTGCTACTGGGGGTGGTACCATACCAACACAGCAAAGAACAGGTATCGTCATAGCCCATTTAATTCACCCCCTCAGTGCTCACATTTAAACAATTCTTACACAGTGTAAAGTACTCCAGACTTTAAACTACTTTCACATGCAGAGATCCCTTCTTGTGTCTGGTATTTCTTACATAACAGTAGTGATGTACATACAACTTAAAGCTAACAATAGTGCAACAGCATTTTTCCGGTGCAGCACAATAATTTTCTAGTGCAGTGTAACAAACTTATGCAAAACCATTTTTTGAGAAATAAAAAAGTGTGCAGCATTTGCAGAGTGTGAAATTCTCCACCTTTGAAGCACGGTGCATGTTAAGTTTCTCGTTGTACCTCTGAGCTTTTTGTATGCTCTTCTTTCTCTTTCCTGTCTGGGAGTTCCCGAGTCAATTTATGAGTGTTGTCTGTATCAGACAGGTGACTCTCTTGGAATTCTTTATTCTCTCTATCTTGAACCTAGAATCCCAATATTGTGCCATGAAACTTCCAAAAGTTATAACCTTAAAATAAAATTACTTGCTGTACGATAGGAAGAGCCAGCAGTTCCAATTTTGACATAATGATGAACACAGGTTTTTATTTCAGGTGCATGGTTTTATGAAGTTTTCTACGTTATATTCTTTTTTCTTTTTCTTCTTTTTAGCCCCTAGTCCTATTATTCCAACAAAAATCAATACACTTTTGAAAGAACTAGGTAAAATTTTGGTAAATTTCTGGCTGTTAGCATTAGCATCTGCATCAGATCACTCAAAGAACAGCAAGCTCTCCTTTTTACCCAGTATTACTAAACCTGCCAAGAATTAACACAAAGGATGGAATGCTGTAGGTTGGACTAGAAAAGATGTTTTTTGTAATCCAAAGCTGAGCGTTATATCCAGTATTTCCAGTTTATTTGTCAACCCATACATATCAAGCATATTCACTAGAAAGATCTTAATTTGATTTGAGGTATTCCTCATTGTTCCCCATGGAAGGCTACACAATGCACCAAGTTATCTCAGACTCGTTTTTGCCCAAAATGCACATCTTTCAAAATGACTTAAGGCAATGAAGAGGGTTATTTTAATTGATGATTAATTAAGAAATTGTTTGCTTATTATAACTGAAGTTGGAGGATGATACAGGGGATTTAAAATGTAGCTTGTTACTCATTTCAGATGCTCCCTTTAATTACTTAGAAACAGTTTTGTGAAGACACATGTGTAAATTAATTGCAAGAAAACCCAAAAGAGATCAGAAAAGAAACCAGCTTATCTGGCCTCTGAGGATGAAAAAGCAGGCATTGCACCTGAAATGAAATTACGTTGTTATTAGAAACTGTATTCAGCCTAACTCTGTATCAGAACACACCTGCATTTTCAAACTGTATTTTAACGTGAGGCTTGAGATCATGTCTCCTATTTATCTGAAAAGCAAAGGGAGCTTAATTACGTTTTATCTAATGTGTTACAACTGAAATCATGCTAATATTATTCAGAAAATCATTACACTTTTTCTACAGTTTCCCATACCTCTTCACTTCATGCAGGAAGCCAAAGAGAGGAAAATGTATACATCATCCTGCTTTACAGCTGTAAAATCTTCCAAGTGTCATTATTTGTATGAACGACAAGAACACTTTCTTTCTTTTTGTTAGCTGACAAGATAGTTGTGTTACTAGTCTCGACTGTGTACTAGGAAAATTAAAATCTGAAAAAGCTCCACCATCTTCACTATTATTATTATAATAATAGAAGATGAAAAATACATCTTCACTGCTATGACGGAAATAGTCATGCATTCACATCAGTTGTTTGTGGTAGAAAATTAACTAGGAAATTGCAATCACATTATTTAATTGCACTTCAGGAATTACCACAGGGTGTTCAGCAATTCAACAATTTTTATAGAATGCTTCTTCTGATACTCATGCAATTAACAGTTCACGTACATTCACAGAAAAACTAGCTATGATTATTTTTCTGCTGCAAAAGTGAATGCAATTTTATCAAGGAATGAAACGTAAGAATGAAATTTGTCTTCATCTTTTTCTCTGTTAGAACACAGCGTGTGGTCACACGAGCATTTCAGAGTAACTGTAGGATTTTACGGTGTTGCAGCCATCTACTCTTTCCTTACACCTCCATAATGGGCTCTGCACGCTCACAGGACCCACTGCTGTGGCTCAGTTAACAGGGATGTTAACGTTGTAGTTTACCAACTTAATGTTTAATTTAACAGCAACCAAACCAGTACAGCCGCCTGTTTCTGAAGCCTGTGCCACCGGACACAGCCGCAAGAGACACCACCTAATGTCTTTGTCAGACAACATTGATTCAGGTTCCAGATAGACAACACGTCTGTGTTCACAGCAGGGATAATTAAAACCCGCAGAAACCTACGAAGATACTCAAGTTCAAAAGCCAGGTAATACAAAATAAATTGTATGTATTCAGCAACACCAGCAGAACATGTAAATACTCACGCCGCAAGACATAAGTTGGTTAAAAGACCAGATTTACACAGTAAGAAAGAATTCAGTGGGTAAGAAGGAATAAGGTTGGCATTTAAGACTTCAGATTTAAATAAAACATGAATGATTTAACTGAAATATTTTACTTTGAAGTACTAATCAAAACCGTGCCTAGATTTGAAGAAAGTCTTCTGAAGCCATCTTAAGAGAAAACTTTTGTTGTGGGATTTTTTTTCTTTTTAAGAAATGAAATATTCAACTGTAAATAAAACACACAGTACTGATAGAGCAGCTGCCGTGACTGCTGAATATGTAAGAACAGCTAATCTGTGTTAAGGATATGGAAAACTGAGGAAGAAAAAATAATGCATACACATCTAGCCAGAGACAGGGTATTTGAAGGACAACAAATTTATCATCATACTCAAACAACAAAGGGGTGAAAAGATAATTTGATTTCCCCCTCCCCCCCATTTATTTCTTTTGGACATTAAGACTTCATAAACATTTTCAAGAATGCTGGTATTCCTGTAGACCTGTCCAAGCTTATAAACTATCAGTATGTACTGACAGGGTAGGAGAGTTCCCTTATTTATAAACTGTGCCTGCACAAAGTCAGTCATTAGTGTGAATGTTAATGAGTAGATGCCCTCTGAGATCAAGCCTCAGCTATTTGTATCAGCTTCGCGCAGCACTGCAGTATTTAGGAATTTACCTTGCAGTGACTGTGTTCATGTTAGAACAGACGACTTTGTTACTACGCATACTATCCACTTCTGGCAAACATATTATGGGCTAGATTCTGCAGCTCATTGTAAGTCGCTATTCAGGGGGTGCCTGATCGAAAGTTCCCTGCAGTCAAAGAAGCACTCCTGCTGACTCATTAACTTTTGACAAGGTTGATTGGCTATGTACTACACATGATCTGAACAGAAGCAGCAGAACCTAATGGCATAGTACGGTCAGACAGAACAAACGGATTTGTCATTAACATATTTGACGCAGAAATACACTTACTTAAGTCTGAGGTGTAAATCGTGATCAGGTCCATTCTCCTGCTAATAGGCAAGTCTCTCGTATCATTAAAATTTAGGAGAGTGCTTGTATATATCAATACCAAAATTCAGATCTAGGTAGATTTAAACCCAAAAATTCAGTCTGATAAACTCAGTAGTATTGGGAAAAACAGCAACTCAATATAAAACTGAATTAACTTTACGGAATGATACTAGAAACTATGAGGTATGAAGTTCACAGTAGATGCAGAACATCATTTGGTGGAGTTATGTTAAAGCCCCATCTCGAACTCTTGAGAGGAACAACGATCCTTTTACATTACCTCCACTGAAATCTCCTTTGGTGCCATGGGCCACTTGTGCTCATACTTTTCTTTCACAGTTTGTTCACTGTTCGCAGTTGGTGTTGAGTTCTCAGGCCGTACTCCATGGCTTGTTTTGCCCACCAGATTTTGAACTGATTTTACCATATTCTTTAAATCCTCCGGGTATGGAGTGGGATAACGTTTTAGATTTATTTCAACCTGAACATTCATAAAAAGAATTAAAGCACAAATACAAAATGAAAACAGCATGCAAACTAAAACCATGATTACAGTACTATGGCTAAGTGCAAATTCCTCAAATTTTTAATTAATCTATTTGAGGTACTGTGTTACGTATAGCTATCTTCAAGGATTTTTGGACTGAAATTTGCTCTCAGCTACACCATGTCAACCTATAATGGAATTTCAGTGACATAAAATAATGGATGGGGATGGTTCCCTGTAAGCCTATCTTTTACCCTGTGAGAGTATTGTATTTTAATTCTACACTTTGCTTGAGAGTACTGACATATTAAATCACACTCTGTCAAAACAATATGGCTGTAAATGCAGAATTAATTTAGCTATGTTCAGTGTACTGAGTTAATCTGAATTATCTATGGCAGCTGAGAACAGAATCTGATCCACGGGGAGCTCTTTGCTCTTTGTGATGTATAATGTACGTACATGCACTCAAGTGTATCTCACTCTTTTCTTACACAGAAAACACAGGAAAACAGACTCCAACCACTACAGAAAAGTCACCCTAAGTCACACAGAATAGTACTTTGACTGACTGACAGGCCTGCAGGTTTTCTAGAAAACTCCACATTTTAAGTTTATAATGTTTATCACTCGAAAGTAGAGAAACACTGTGTTTCCCAGGTCCAAAGCAATCCTAATTTGAAGACAATTCTACAAAGAAGAGTGGCTGAGAAGGCTCACGGATGACATCACCCCCCGTCACCTGGCGAGACATTACACTACCAGCACACTGCTCTGAGGAGATGCTGCAGCAAACGACCACGTCAGGGATGACCCAAGCGGGAAAGATGACAAAACGTGGTGCTGACATCTCCTCACACCTGCCGCGTGGCAGACGTGGTTTGTCCGCTGAACATCACACCACATCATGAGAAGAGACGCCGAGGAAGCTGAAGCGCCCAGCCAAATGCAGCGCGACCTCAGCGAGGCTGCCGGGGCCGC